ACCTTCCCATTTCACAGTTGGCTTTTACCAAAGACCTTAGAAGCATCTGTCACTCGTGGACGCGCAGTTACGCTAATAAGGGTCCCAGTTCCTGCAGTTAAAATGTCTGGGTGGTGCGGCTCCTTTCTGTCCTGTAGTTTTTTTTTCATATAGTTTCCCCCTTTCTCTGGTCCCCAATTAAGACTAGAATCGGATCCCTTTACACCTCTCATCCCCTCTTCCCCCTTGTTACCACTAATTGGTTTGCCTAAATCTTTCGTTAACTCTACCCTCCCTTATATTACTGTATTGCCTGATGATGAATTAATCGAAAACGTTCGTTCGCCTAACTTGACTTCCTGAGTTTCCTATTTGGTGAACATTTACAGAGGCTCTGCTAGGTCACTGTGAGCCGGTGGTTGCATCCATGTGTCATGGACCAAACACATTTCATAGTTGCGGTGTGCGTCCAAATTCACGAAACCTTCCGTTGGGTTTCCCTGCCTATGTAGTGCGGGTTTCACTGACACGAAAAAAAGTTCTTTAAAAACCTGCACAGAAAAAAACATAATTTTGGGGCCTTTGAGGTCTTGCAGTTTACTATCTATACTCGTGCTCCTTAAATCTGCTTAGTGACTGAGAAGGAGGAGATGAGCTCGTTGGAACAAGAATTTTATCTGCCTGGTGTTTCATATTCACACTCGAACCCTGCTTAATTCTTTTTCTGCATTGCTGTTATTTTGTTTTGCTTGTTGTTTGTCTTTTGAGTTTTTAAGTTTGCTTTCTTAAGCTCCACGCCTTATACTCCAAACAGACCTTACTGTTGGCTTTGTAAGGAGAAGGCTTTAACTGCCTGACAAGGTTATCCACCTAAAGGTCGTCGGTTTTTTTTTCCAGACAGCCAAGCATGAGCTGGTAGCATGATAAGCTTGTGTAATTCCGCGATGAAGACCACAACATTTCACAGCACTGTGCTAATCAGCTTCAAGCGTTTTTATTCACCTGCTAGGTCGTTTGCGTTATCTCTCGGTCTCTCTCTCTCTCTCTCTCTGCCTGTCGTTCACTTTATCGTGTGTTGCGGTCGCTTGTCTCGTTCAGTGACCGGTGCACTACGTGACGGAAACGTATAAAATTAGGTACTCAGCTAACTACAGCCGGGGGGGGCTGCGGTCCTGAAGCTGTTTACAGTCACATACTGTCTGTCGTCCACACCCGGCCGTCTGGTCGTCAGTCTACGTGCTGGTAGCAAAAAAGTCAAGTGAACG